CCACCCGCCGGCGGAGAAAGGGAACAGGCCCCATGGGGGCCAAAGACAGAGCGCAGCCCCACCAGGTAGCGGAGGCGGAGGCAGCCCGGGCGCGGGTGGCGAGGCTTCGGCGGTGGCGTTCAGCTGGCTGCGTGTTACCAAGACGCGCATGACCAAGATCCTTCCTTTCAAATCAAGGGGGTAATGTCAGCGTATATAAAAATTTTAGGGGGTAAAAGGTAAAAAAGTTCCCTGACCCCTGGCCTAAAGCAATGAGCTATCCTTGTCCTTTAGTGATTACTCAAAATTGCCACAATTTACTCTCACATTTTTCCTGCCATTTTCATGATAACATAATGACACTGCTGTTCTGTGTGCCACATGCTCCTTCCATCTTTTCTTATGCTACAGAAAAGCAAATTGTTTATGATTGCCGAGAAAGTGATGGTAGCACAATAATGGTAGGTATGGAGGGAGGATTTCTCTACTGTATTGCATATGCAGAAACTGACTGTATTGTCATCTCCTCTCACTCATGTTGAGGTGAGACCCTTGGAATTGTTTATTTATAAGGAGTTACAATGTTCTCCAGTTACTGTACTTATTTAGACAGTGGCCTTTCTAATCATTTTTCCTTGCATAGTTGTTGTCCCTTTCCTCCTGCGCTGTCTGTTCAGATGTTTACTATGAGGAATTTAATCTAAAGTTTATTCTATAAACTTTACATTAGTTCAGAACCAGGAGATAAGATCAGTGGATGAATTGCCCACTGCATTTCAAACAGCAACTATTTATTATTTATTTATTTACTTAGTTAAAATATTTTTATCCCACCTTTCTTGTTGAAAAGGACCCAGTGCCATTTAGGGCCTGGTCTTTGCTGCTCCATAGTTAAAATATTTTTACCCCACCTTTCTTGTTGAAAAGGACCCAATGGCCAAGGGCCTGGTCTTTGCTGCTCCGGAGCAATTGACTCCTTCTGTTTATCAAGATAATTGCTTGCTCTGCTTGCCCTTGGCTGACTAAGGAGCTTTAAAATGAGTGGTCTTCATTATGTTTTTCAGAAAACTCTTAAAAATTGCTTGATTTTTAAAAATCAGGCATGAATCTTCTTTGTTCCTTTCCTTCACAGTTCCTGGAGGACAAGTTTGAATTTTCCCAGATGTTGGAGGAGCAATTTTCTGCCATTCTGCCTGCCTCTCCTCTAACTACTGCTCCTAGTGATCCTTTTCCTTCTTTTCTTTATTCTACTATAGGTTTCTTCTCTTTTGCCTTTTTAAACCAGTCTGGTAAACTGTTTGCTTACTACAGTACTTTGCAAATTCCCAAGTTCCTTCAAGCATGCTTTTGTCCATCCTTTGTTGGCAGGGGGTGGATGGGACTTCCCTTGATCCTTGAATTTGTGCTTAATATCAGCCTCTTTCGCTTCTTCCTTTTGTGTCTAAAGTTTTGGAGAGAGTAGCCTTTTCTCAACTGGCCCCTTATTTAGCTCATCAAAATATCATTGATCAATTTCAATCTGAATTTCAGGCTGGACATTCAACCAGGACAGCACTCTGTCAAGTTTTGAA